CATAGCTCTTGTAAATGATGCACCGGCCGTCTTGAGTCCGAAAGGCATCCTGCAAAATACATACGTCTGATTTGCAGCCATAAAGCCAGTATATTGCTTGCTTTCTTGTTCCAGCGGTATCTGCCAAAATGCTTTTGACACATCCAGAGTACTGAAGAATCTTCGATGTCCAATTCTTCTAAACACCTCGTCTATTGTAGGTGGTTGTGCATGATCATTCACCATACGCTTATTGAGNTCTCGGGCGTCTAGACATAGACGTATCTCCCCTGATTTTTTAACCACGGATACCAGTGGATTTACATACTGTGTTGCCGCCTTTTCGACAATTCCTGCCTCCTCTAACTCAGCAATATGCTTCATCACCTTNTCTCGATGAATTTCTGGTATTGGATATGTCTTTGATTTGTATGGNGCCCTCGTTGTAACTTCAATTCTATGTTTATAATGATTCACGCATCCTACTTCTCCTGTAAACAAATCTTCGTACTGATCTATCAGTGTTTCCAAACTTTGCTCTGCATCTTCTAAGCTGATTGCCAGTAATCGTGGTGCCTCGTTCAATTNGACTTGTACACGATTGGTTGCACATTCTATAGTCGCTTTATGTGCGATCAAAAATTCAATTCCGATTATCATTCTGTATGGCAACCTCTTAACCACATAAAATTCTCCATTGTAATGCCGTTCTCTAATTTTCATATCAACTGATACTTTATATGCCAGTACCTCGCCCTTATCCGAGAACGCTCCTCTCACTGGAAATTTCGTAATCGGCACTACGATCATCTTTGCTCCTTTGGCTTGCAATTCTTCGTATAATTCTTTTGCGATTACTGAAATCTGAGCTCCGGTGTCAATCAGCGCTCTTATATTAGATTCACCGATCTCGACTTCTATAAATGGATCCGGTTTGCTTGGTATTTTCTGTTGCTCTTCGCACATTTCATCCACATTCCGAATTATTTCTTCTGTCCGTATCAATGTTATGCTCACTCGATCATCCGATAATTCTGAAATTTCTGAATCATCCTCTTTCTCTATTGTAGCAATTCTAGTTCGTTGTTTTCGATTCTCCGTTTTCTTTTCTTCAATTTTTCTTCCTCCATTTTTCTGATCCTGATCTTTATTCTTGATCTCCTTTCGAACACTCGGCTTCGTCTTCTTTTCTTCTTCACTATCCGATAGCTCATATCTATTCGGCTTCCGATACCGATCATACTGGAATTTCCTATTATAATTCCGGTTTTCATCTTTTCGATATGTACGATCATAGTATCTCGCATTCCTTCTTTTATCTTCTTCATCTTCACCATATCCGGTTGTGATANCTAACTGTTTTTTCTCCATATTCCTCTTTTGACCTTCTCTTTTCTTTTCAACTACTTCCGGCTCTGTGCGTTTTCTAGTGTCACGTCGAATTCTTCTCTCTGTTTCAAGATGATGAAGTATCTCAGTCATCTGTTCCACCGTCTTCACCCACGCTGGTCTTAATTCCCGTGAAANTGTATCGTCGAAATGCCTCGCCAGAGTAGCTACAATTTCCGCTTNATCCATCGGTGATGTTAATACGCGTGCTTGTCGCGCGTATTTTAGTACGTATTCCGTCATCGCACCGTCNTTCGCGGGATTAAATTTTCCTGTATAGATTTTATATCTTATTTGCTGCTGTGTTGTACTGTCCCAGAAATACTCTAAAAATGCCCTCTTAGCTTCTTCATAATCATCAAATTCTCTGTTGTCCATCCATGCAGCAGCTCCATCCTTCAGACAGGTACTAAAATAATGCATCCTATCTTGCATCGGAATGTCCTCTCTTGTGGCTATTCTTTCGAATCGTTTGATGAACCTGACTGGATTCAGTTCATCCTTTCTTCCGTGATATTTTAGTTCTTCGAATGGATTTGTTAACCATCCTCCTCTTGGAAGTCGTATCCCCGACGATGTCTGAGCCGTTGATGTCTGTAATTGAGAATTTGCTATCATNTCTTGGCTTCTTCTAAGCTCTTCATTNTGTCTGCGTAATTCTTCCATCATCCTTCTCATATGATCGATTTCTCTTCTCAAATCTTCCATTTGTCCANNATTCTGCTCTGCCATTGTAATTACTGTATTCTGAGTATTATTTACATTTGCTGGTGGCGTACGTGGTAACATTTCTTCTTCTTCTGATGTACTATCCACCTGCGCTGATCTTTGGATCTCCTCTGAGGATTCGATCTCTTCGTCCGGTCGCTGCGTTCCACGTCTTCTCCTTGTCTGCCTTCCCAATGGCATAACGTGATAACAAGATCAGAGATCTCCCCGATCGCTTTGGCCTTTTACGATTCCGTTTTTTATTTGAGCAACAATCCTTTCCTTTGCTCTTTACGATTCGCAATTCGGCGTCCTTTTCTAGGGATCAATCAATTTCATTAATTAACTCTATATATTTATCTCGCGTTTATTAATTTTACTTGTTTATTAATTTTAATTAATTTATAAATTCTATAATTCCGTTACGTAGGGAAAACGATTGTTCAAACTTTTCACGCGTACTTACATATAGCTTCGCATCACCTTATAATCCTTGTTTATGACTCACCCGTTGTATATTATGTTTCACGTTCTCATATACTCGGTGTCTTATTAATAATGTTTTGCCGCTGATAATTTTCACCTAGACTATCAAACAGAAACAGTTAAATTAGAAGTTCTTTTAACTGCAACAAACTCACGTATTGATTGACAATGTCGCTGAACCTCTTTATTATCTATGCTTCCTTTTATTTGTTTAAATAATCCCAGCCTACAACTTCCTATTCACTGTGAATCTTTTATCTCTAAGCACTGCTATAAATTCTGCGTTTTTTTTTTCGAGCTTCTTGAATAACTCCCAATTATTCCGATAGCTGCTCAAAAAATTTTCCGTTAGCTGCTCAAAAAAATTTTCCGATAGCTTTTCTTTAAATAATTAATTATTTTAATTACGCTTATTAAATCAATTTTTTTTATTTTATGCGATTCTATTAAGATTTCTTATCTTATGCAATCGTTTTATTATATATTCGCCAATTTCCTTTTCGGCTTATTTTTAAATTTTGTAATATTCTCTCGCTAACCAACGGTAGCCTCCTTATGCCCCTATCATCAACCCTGAAACCTCAAAATAAAGAAATTATTCTATTTCGCGACTTGTCTTTATATCAAATTTCCCGAAACTTTTCTTTACATCGGTTCCTGTTTTGAACTTTATTGATAGCATCCGGCGATAATCCGCTCCGTGTTTTGTCTATCCCTATGTCTTTCAGTTTTCTTTATATTTATGTTTGCATCGGTTTTCTGTTTAGATCGCTTCGACCCTACGGTTCAAATTTTTATTTTTCGACCTTGGTCCCAAGCTAATTACTACCGCGCTGCGCTCGCACGCTATTCCTTCGATATGCACAAAACGAAGTGATTGTTCTTGAATTTTCTACAATTTTGCGTATTGTCCTGTCACGGTCGCCAATTTGAAAAATTTTTTTGATTTTTGATTTTAGCTAGTGTCCTTACTTATTCTATTTATAATTACTTTATAAATGTAAAGTCTTAGCTTCGGCTTTCGTGTTTTCCCACATAACAAAACCATTCGGTTTCTTTCACTGCTCATTCGCGCGCATTACCGGCATATGGCATTCTGCGCATTGCCCGTTGCTCTCGCTTATTACTTTCGTCGTTTCCGAAGTTACAGTTCCACCGGCACGAGGAAGGAATATTAATCGAGCATGCAAGCGACTTCTTTCACCCTTTGACTGTGACCGGATTTCCCTAAATCCTAGTCCCTAGTACGTAAATTATCTTTTAGATTTTGTCCTACGGTCGCCAGTCGGTTTATCCTTAAAGCCGACAAGGTATTAAT